TAAAAACAACGGAATAAAGACACATTGGAGGCCATCCTTTCCGTGAACATGCTGCATTTGGACTAGAGGTCGAAGTAGCGGCAGGTCTGCTCTGTATTCAAGGATTATATCTAGAGCAGTACAGGTCGCCCTGCCAGGACATAGCTTGGACCAACGAGTTAATATATCAAATTACAGCAGGGATGCAGCATTCTGAGCAATGCCGTCTAACTGCTAGCCCATCCGGTTACGTAATTTCAAAGTAGTTCTCCATCTCAAAATGTTTGAGTTGTTTGTTCCCTACTGGAGGGGTAAAGAAACTTTGGCCCAGGATCAGGAATGAAACAACAAATTGAGTCTGCCTCTACCTGGGAAACAGGATAAAGGAAAGAAGACTTCACAGACATTTTTCTGAGTTATTAAGAGATAATTTTCCCCATGAAAAATTGGCTACAAAAAATTATAATCTAAAAGGGTTACCAGAAACGAAGCCATCATATACAGTACATATTTTATACAAATCAGAGTGCTATGTAGCGAAAGCACTCAATTCTCTGAATATATTTTACCAATGGAAATCTTCCTCAAACACCAATACATGTAATATCTCCACAGAGGGAACACCAACTTCGTGATGTCACTGCGTGAATGGCCAAAGTCAACCAGTCTGAAATGGCATTTGCAACAAAAACGGCCCTTCCCAAGTGGGGATCAACATAAAATGGGAGAACAACTTCATGACTACTTGCAAAGAAAAACCAGCAGTATCTTATGCTTGGGCAAAAAACCCAGGGCTATCACTGAAAGTGCAGTAAAAATACAGACCTTCATGCATTCGCAAGATGTGGGTTTATCTTTGGTCAATGATGCTGCAGCATAAGTTATATGTAAATGTCAAATTCAATGTATATTTGTTGTGACTTCGTGTAACCACGTAGGAGCTGAGCAGTGAGCTTTGTGTAAATTATGTGGAATCAGTTAAGAGGCAAGAAACATGGGAAATGGCAGGGCTCCTTGTCTTTTTTGGCTTAAGGTAGGACTTTGGAAGGGATGAATTGGGAGCGGCCTAGGGTTCTAGTGATTAGTCCCATCCCAAACATCAAGGATATCTAAGTATGAGGAAAATTATGAATGGAATGAATGAAAAATTCACAGTTGTCTGAGGCAATCAGGTAGACGAGAGCATGTATGATCTAAGGAATTATTTCGCTTCAACGAAAGAGTACATTAGGTTACTTTGGCCTATTCCCACTACTGAGCCACTTGAAAAATGATCTTCCAAGTTTAAAACGGACTTGACATATTGCATGAGAGTAAATCCACCAGTATGGGCTTTTGGATTGTTATGCTTCCATAAAACTCTGCATCCTCTGGTTGAATACCACAGATGGTCAAACTGAAGAAATAAAAGACTATCCTTGCAATCCATTTCTGTAAATTCAGCTATAGGATTGATGAATATGACAACATGACAAGAAGGAAATTTCTCCTTGATGCTGACTTGGAAGGAAACCACAATAGCACGACAGTCATATAAGCACCACAGCCTACCTTTTCCAAAGAACATGCCAGGCCAATGTATTCTACTGAATCTCTTCATGTCGTTATACTTACTCAACCCAGAACAGCAGGAACCAGATCAGAATGAGAAATAAAAGAGCTTGCAAACAGAATGCCAATAAGCCAAAAATGAACTCCAGGGAATGCAGCTATTGATGGAGATAACACTCTACAGATGAAGGGCCAAATAGATAGTAGTCTAATGAGCCATGAATGCAGATGCATGTTTTCTATTTAGCAGTTGAAGATGCTTGGAAGATCATTGCTATGTACTATGTGATTGCTTCACAATGGGCCACTCCACCACAAATCAGCCTATGGATGAGCTTAACCATCTTCAATTTTTTTTGTTGTAAAATATTGCTAAAGATGTCAAATTGATTTTAATTGACTAAAAAAAAACTAATTTGAGCCTTTTCTGTGTAAATATAGCTTCCATTTTTTTTCCACAAATATCCATTTGAATTTAATGTATTTTTTCGCTCCAGCTACCTATCTGGTCCAGAAATAAGGAAGGTCAGCTTTAACTTCTCTCCTGATTGAATTGAGAAAGAAGCTTCATTCAAGTTTTATTTTAATTGTGAATACATCCTCTTTCTAATTATATGACACAAAATCCTTCAAGGTGACAAAAATTCTGCTTGTACAGACACAAATTTCAGTGACCAATAACCACATTTTTCCCTTCAGGAATTCTAAGTTCACATATCTCACTCAAAAGTGGGTTTCAAACCATTTTCAACCACATCAATATAAAAATTGAGACTGGACTTCTTTTCAACATTCATTTGAATGATCATTAAAAGTTAACAGAAGTGTCACAGCACCCCATGCAAGAAGAAAACTAATTCCAGTGAACTGATCTCATTTCAGCCATCAAGGATGCAATTACTTTTATGCTTTGATCAACCAATACAGATTCTTAGTTGATCATATGTGGTGCATATAGCTAATCAGCTATTTAAAAAAAAGTTTCTGTATGATGCTTCATTGGCAAGCAGACAAAATAATGCCAATAGTGATGGTCAGCTCATAGGTTGATTGTGGAAGTAAAAGGTACATGTATTCAGCAAAATTCATAGTTTACACTTACACTTCCTGATACCAGGGGTTATGTCAAAAATACTGGAAGGTGACACTTACAGGGTGACCCAGAATATACAAGGTATTCTTTAATTATGCCATGCTTTCAAAATTTAATTAAAAATCAATGAGGTAAGTTTTAATCTGCAAAGTTGGGATGATTTATCTCTACATCTGAGAGTTTTTGGCAACCCTTGTTGTAGTTGCTTTGCTGACATGGTGTCTTTTGGTGCAAAGGAGAAAGCTTTCGCAATAAAACTATACTATCAGAGTGGTAATTCACCAGTGATGGTGCAAAGAGACTTCAGAAAACATTTTGTTTCACATGACTCTCCTGACAGAAAGAAAATTTGACATTATGTAAAAAATTTAGAAGAGAATAGAAGAGTTTTGAACATAAGAAAGGACAAATTTAGGGTGACCAAAAAGAAACAAACACCCAAAGTTGTGGGAGAAGCACAAACTACACATTTGGCCCAAGAGTCCTGTCCAAAAGGTACCCAAAGCTTCACAACTGTGATTTTGCATGACCATCTAGGTCACAAGACCTCAATTCCTATGATTTCTTTTAATGAGGATATTTAAAGGGCAGGGTCTTTGAAGAAAATCCCAGGACATTGAAAGGTCTAAAAGCAGTGATTGATAGTGAAGTCCCACTCCATTTCTACCGAAATGCTGGAGACCATGATAAGAAATTACATGTCCAGATTCCTCATGTAATTTCACAAAGGAGAGGACACTTTGACATGTTGTTTGTCTGTAAAAAATAACTCCCATCCTTCTACAATAATTGTGCCAAATTTCAAGAATGTAATTAATCCTTAGATTTTAAAATTAATTTTTGAAAGCGTGGCATAATTAAAGAATCACCCTGTAGCTGCTATATAATGATTCAAGAGTCTTTGAAATCCTGTTTCCTAGGACAAGTGATGCACCATTTTCACTGAACTCTATGTCACAGCATCTTCCATCAAGATGATGTCCCTCATCCAAGCAATACAATGGCGACCAGTGTCCTTGACTGGGATTTAGGATCTGTCTAAAATTTCAGGGTAAATCTTCATGTTTGGAATGATTTGATCATCAAACTCCTAGCAGAATCTTAACTATAACTGAACTACACTCTTTCGCTGATACCATCATTCAATGATTCACTGTTTTGTTGAAATTCAAATCAAAGGCAAGGTGGTGGTTGTCACAGATGACAAAACTTTACCCATTAAATTTAACCCAGTCTCAATCATGTGTTACCAACAACAAAAGAATTATAGTTCAGTATCTCATCAGTTGGACATTATTTATTATGTGTTGAAAGAAGAAATCAAATATTTACCTATTGAATATAGATGGTGCTCCAATTTTTTTAGAGCAAAATATTTGCTACTTTACTCAGTGACAAGAAGTAGAAAGTTCTTGAAGTGTAAAGATTGAGTATGGACTAGCAGCTCCCACTATTGGAGGAAACAGGTGCACCCTTTCCATTTTTTGTTTTTTAAGGAATGTGACCATCAGTGATATCATCATATAAGCTATTTAATTTCTGCCTGGTGCAATCAAGAAATGCATTTCCTCACAAGTTACTGATGTATCAGATATGGTAAATTCTGCTACATATATCCTGTATTTCATTCTGATCTGTCAGTTCTGAAAAGCACAGCTAGAAGTAATGTTTTCACTAGCAAAAATCTTTTAACAAAAAAAAAAAAATTGACCAAAATGGTTTAAAGTTGTCATTATTCCATACCAACATGATAATCTGCACTGGCTTTGAAAATTAATTATCCCTGTCTCAGTTAAGAAAAACCTCATTTTTTCCCCCTCCTATCCCAACCCCCCCAGCTCTCAGCCACAAAAAAAAGGTTTTTCTTAACTGAGACAGGGATAGTCTTGATCAAAGAACTTTTCATTATATCTTTTACACAAATTCTCAGAGCATATTCCATCATATCATATTCATGAAAAAATCACCTCTAGCTCCCAGGATATTTTAAACTCATGAGTTTGTTCAAAATGTAATCTAAAGTTTAAAATTCAAGAACGCTGGAAGGACTTTTCAAATTAAATAATCCACTTCTACTTGAGGGATTGTCTGCAAGAAATGACTATGCATTGTGGACTGAGGGTTTCGCTGTACTTAGTAACAACAGGTAGGATCTGAATTTGATCCCATGCCTCTGTCAATGCAGATAAAAAATGATGCTTCATCTAGTAGAAGGCTTGCAGTAAACCACCATTTTTGAACTGAATAGTAAATATGGGTCTATGCTTGTATCATCAAATACAAAATGGTTGGCAACTGGAAGCCCTCCACCAGATACAATGGACACAAGAAATAAAGAAGGAAGAGATAACAGATGTGAAGATTTATTCGCACATACCTTTTCCACCTTGTCAAAATTTCGAGCTCTCATCTGAAAAAGTAAAAGGATGCAGTTCTAACAAAGAGAAAGAACATCAGACACAGTCAATATGCATAGGCAAAAAATAAAGTATCAAATATAACAATGAAAAGTTTAAAATTGCATAAGATATAATCCATCTTGAGGATGGAGTAATTTACAGACCATTTTTGACAAATACTGTCTTCATTTGCCAGGTACCATTCATCTTCATAGCTCTAAAATAAAATTGGCACAAGAAATGAATATAAGAGAAATTCTGCAAACATGACATCCTGCCGCTTCATAACAAGCATTCAAGTCCATTTAGAGCATGTCAGACACTTATCAAAACCAACCCATCAAAGTAAATATGCATGTCAGACAAGGCAGGTAGGTGTAAAGTGTAAAACTATGCAAAGTTCAAGACCTGAGAGTAGATTCAAATGCTTGATTCCAAAAAAACTGTTATAAGAGGAGGGTAAAAAAAAGCTGGGACTCAATGACAACTCATAACTACCTAGACAAAATCTCTGTTGCTATGCATACTAAAGTCTGTCAGTTGGTTGGATAAAATATTTAAAAGAGGTATTTCTTTTGAACCTGTTTCAGATTTAAATTGATATCCCTTGGGATCACCTGTTTACTATTTAGAGTGGATAGGATTTGTTTTCTGCTTCATTAATCTTGCTTGTATGATTGTTGTACTGTACAACTATGCATTTTTTAGGTTACTATTATTTCACCACACCATATTATACTACTTAATTTTCTATAATTATCATTTTATTACATTAGAAGCACCTTACTTGTTATGGTACTTGTATAATTATATTTCAGGCCTTTCATATAATTCATGACACAATTTTAGCTGTACTAGTTCTGGAGCTTTGAAAATGCTCCAAGGGGTCATCCTTCCCCAGGCACCAAAGCTTCATCACATCTAAGTAATTGGGGTCAGGCAGGTATAGTTTTGTATTCTGTCATTTCTCTTGGAGTCAATTCAGAGAACTTTTCAAAATTTTTTGAGATGGTTGAGATTCAACCATTTGATAAGTTGGCATGAAATGACTAATAAAGCTGGCTTCCCTATGAACAGGGAGACCAGCTCTCATAGCTGGAACTGTTACAAGCACTGTATTACTGAGATGACATGGGTTGAGGGATACAACCCACAAAAAATGCTTTTCCATTAATCTACTATCTGGAAGAATGAACATTGCAAAGATTTTGCCAAAATACAAGTGCTTGAAAATGTAGATCCTCCCTCAGGAAATGCTCTAAAGAAGTAGAAGTGTGTGAGTTGTGAATGTGAAGATGTAAAGAGCAGATGTTTATTCATATAACCAGGGCATGACAACAAACAGATCAGCCTGTTAGAGTTTGATTGAATGAATCATATGGGATGAGCTGCTGCAAGGGCTTTGTGAGGGCATCTGGAAAACTCCATACCCTATCTGCTGTAAAGGGGATGTTAAAAGAAATTTTTATCAATTACATTTGTTAATGCAATGGAGTTTTTACTTCCTGCTTCTCCTTAAGTAGAGCATAAGCACTTCCCCATATGCTTTCAAAGTTAGACTGGGAAAGTTGGATCCATGGAATTGGATATCTATATATCATTCCATCAGGGCAGCACATGAAAGCATCAAAGAATGTGAAACCTCACCAAGTGGATACAATACTAGAGAACTGAAGAATTCAGGTTTCTACCATAGAGACTTGCTTCTTTCCTCCCCTCTTTTTTCGCTACTGTCAAGTATCTGCACATAAAAGTCTAATATCTAACAGATGGGTGAAGTCCAGCATTCTTCAATTCCCTCCAAGTGGGTTTCTACCATAAAGAGTCAGAGACCAATCTCAGATGAAAGTATATTATGCATAAATGAAGAAAGAGTTCAGGTACTCATTCTAGGACTCATTACAGGCAAAAACATGGTATATAAATAGAGACAAACATGGCACTTACCTCATGTTCAATATAAATTTTCCAAAACCGCCCAGATGTTGGAAATGTTGTTACCAATTTTTCATATACTTGACGGGCATCATCAATTCGCTTATGTTGTGCATCTCTGACAATGATGCCCCAAGCCTCTAAATCATAGGGACCTTCTTCAATGGTCTTGGTAGCTTTATCAACTTCATCTGACATCTTCACATGAGAAAATAAACTACCAGTATCTAGAAAGAGAACATTTTGAAGATAGAACACAATGTGGCCCTTCAAGATAGGGCAATAAAAGACAGGTTTGCATTTGCTTAAGATGTACCACACATGTAGGAATACAAAAAGGATAGAGGTTGTTAGGATATCAAAGTGAAGGTGCAAAGGACTGCTGTCAAACTATAACTGAGAGAGGGTATGACAAAACACAAATGCACTTCTTCAATGCCAAATAACCATAAGTCACTTGGAAAAGTCACTTTAAAGACTTACTGAAATCATTGAAAAGCAATAAATTAGGCTTTTCAAATCCACACTTAACCTGTTAACTCTCTTAATCCACACTTAGCCTCTCTATGTTATTATATGTATTTCTGAAATAAGCAACTTTTGATTGTATCCCTTTAGTTTGTATAGGGCATTACAGCATTTCTTAGGTTTTTGAAGTTCAGTATCATTTGGATGTCATTTTAGTTTTTCATGTTGCCTATCTATCACATACTTTTCAGAGCCCATTTTTAAACATAGACTTTTTTTATTGCTTTCTTTTGTCTCTTTTTCATATTAGGTCAGAATAAAGGGTAGTCAAGAAACAGGGTTCACTTTTGTTTATATTAGTTTACTCAGTAACTAAGGAATACATAGACTTCAAATTTAGCACAATTGCAGAAGAACTTCACACTTTCACAATGCATCACTCCACCATGCAGGACATGGACTCCTTGATGTCAAATTTTTAAAAGCCAGCTTTGAAGTGACCCCATGAGATCACACTTCTGCTAATTGTCAAGACAAAGTTGACCAGATCTGTTGAAGGAGTTGAGGTTGAGATTCTTGGCCTTCACCATCTCTTTTGTGTCTCTCTTTGCAAATGGCCTAAAATGGTCTAAGTGTCTTGGGCCTGAGGACAGCTGGTAGAAATACACTTCCTATAGTAAAAAAAATTGTACACCCTGGGGGTTCCTGCCAAACCTGGATTGGTATTACAGTTTTGAATCTGAATGCATTTCAGTTACCTTTTGTGTTTAGGTTCACCTTAACTAAAGTCTAAAGGAGATGCTCCTTCCCTTTAGTAAAAAAATGCTACAAGGAGCAAGGCATCATCTTCATGGAAACAGTTGCTCTTTAAGATGCAAAAATGGTCAAGGTTTTTTTTGGCTAGAGTCCCAAGACATCAAATTTGGTAGAATAAAATATTGCTACAAACTACCATCAAGTTTTACTCATTAAGATATATTGGGCCATCTCCAATGACAGAAACTCAAAAGCAAAGGTGAAGGCCTGGCTAAGATCTGGTTAACTTTGTCCAGACAAGTAGCAGAAGGTAAAGGTCAAGTCCTCATATGATCACTTTGATGCTGGCTTAAAGAAAAAAAAAATGGACATCAAGGTGTCTTTACCCATGATTCAATATAAAGGTTGGAAGTGGTGTTGTGATCAGACTAAATTTGGAGTTCGTATCTTAGTTATTAATTTTACTAAGTAAACTATTGAAAACAAAAGCAAACCCTATTCCCTGACAACCCTTATTTTTGCTGAGTTTAGAACTTTGAGTAAAATGAAAGAGTCATCCACACCAGAATCACACTTAGACCAGTCAATTTTGCTAACCTCTGCAATACATTTTTTAACAATGAAATTACCGAGGTCAATCCTATATTGTGCAGGCCAATATTCAACAGATTTGGACATGAGACAGTTGTTACTGTTACTGAGAAGAAATTTAATTCCACTTCACCCCTTTGCTAATTTGACAGGCTTTCCTCCATTAACCCATTTGGTATTACAGCCACATTGGTACAGCCATGCACATGTGGTCATTTCTCTATCTGCATTGACCCCTGCTTCTATGATTAACACACTCTAAAGTACTAAAAAGGTATGTGCAACTTATAATTACTCTTATTTGCAGATACTGCAAATTTCTAGCCCAAAGTAAGCATTGAGCACCAACTCCCCCAAAAACCCAGCTGGGAGGCACAGTTGTGTGTAGAAAACTCCATACTGAAAGGGTTAATGGGACCAGTGGTTAAATGAATAAAGAAGAAAGAGGGGATAGACATCAGGAAAAAGTCTTGTCATGCAATGGTATCAACATCCACCATGGTTCCTACTCTTCTGAATCTTGGAGTCAATCATCCAAATAGGATATTTAAACAGCTCAAATATCATACTAGTCAAATTATACTAATTTACCTTATATTAACCCATAAGTAATTAATTATAGCTACATCTCCAGGGTGTAAAAATTGGTGACAAGGTGAGGGATCTCAGGAAATTCAAGCAATTGCATAAAAGATAGGACTGGAGGTATCAACTTAAGGTTAAGAGGTGTTTGATTCCCTTCCCCCCCCCCCCCCTAAGATAAAAGAATATTTTTGTTTGCACATACACACTTCCAGCTTCAACCTAATACCTATGTCTACTATTTAAATGTAGCAATTATTTATCTAAGTTTAAACTACAGATACAGAATTGTAGCCAAATCACATCAACCCAATGGGCCTACAAACTTCCAATGAGCAGTTACTATACTTTCCAGGTGTGAACCCAGACTACTAAGACAAGAAGGCAGATTTTCATGATGCTTACAGTGATTGTCCAGAAAACAGATGAGAAAATAGTCTGAGGCCACTGAGTCAATGTGTGACAGGCACCAGATCCATTCAACTTTAAACTGATTCACTTTCATAATGTGAATAATATATAACATTGGATTAATTACATGGTGATGCAAGAAATAAGAAGAAAAATTGGAAAGATGCAAACACCAGGGTGCATAACTTAGGAAAAGAGTAGGTCTTGATCTTTCAAATGAATGGTGAAAGTCTTGTGCACATCCAGTTGTATGTCAGCTTTGCATATTTCAAGATGTTGAATCCAGTCATTCATTTTATCTAAAAGCTCAGTAACTTATCAATAATAAGATTTTACATTAAAATGGCTTCCACTCTGCAGGCTCACCCCACCAATCTTCTTCTGAGATTAAGAGAATGCAAGTCTATCACGAGAAATAAATTGGACACCCCTGTGCAGTCACTCATTGATGGATCCCCATCATCAATGCCACTTTGTATGTGTAGATGCATTACATGTAATGACCCTGAATGTAGATTAGGTGGCAAGGGAGGGGTATGAAAGAAAGAATGAAGTGTGCAAAGAGAAGGTTGATGGGTATTTGTGCTTGAGGCATGTGCTAGGCATAAAATACCTGGTAGGCTAAGATCTTGACCAGTGAAATGAGCGGACCTGATGCTGACACATTTACACCTATTTCCTCTTTGGAACTAGGTGTAAACTAACTTAGGCCAGATTTCCTACTTAATTTTTAGCTCTTCAAGTGCAGTTAATATCAATTATAATGATCTCATTCACTATGAAACCATACATATTGCAATAAAAAATGCCTTGTCCCTGACTAGTGCCCAGAAAGTACATGTATTTAAACTCTGCTTATTGCAGAAAGCCTAATTAAATTTTTGGTCACTCTTACAAATTTGACAACTATGTAAAGCTCTTCAGAACACATGAGAACCTACCTTAAAGTCTGAATTTAAAGAAGTCCAACTAAATGTGTTGCAAGAACTGAAATGGAATGGCTTTTAGCAGGACTTCATTGTCAAGTTGGACTAGAATGAAATTAGGGTCTGGCAACCCTCTTGCTATAGTGTCACTACAAATCTGTATTGTGCTAATTGTCATCCAAAATCCTGATAATGGCTGGAAAGACAAGCAATGTGAAAAACAATTGCTGTGCCATTTTTTTAAATTTGCTGTTGAAATTAACCACTGCATGAAAAAAATACTGTGTTAAAAAGCTAAGCTTACAAGTGTAGCTACTACTACAGCCAGGCACATCTCTACTTTAGTGATCTTTCCAGATCAGTGTGCTTATAACAATTTGAAAATTTCAGCTATTGCCTTTACAATTAAGGCCTTGGGTGTAATGGATTATCAGGCAACTGAACATATCCATAAAACCTGCATGCTGTTGATTTGCTGTCACACTTGCAGGAATTGTCCTGATTTTGAAATATCCTTCATGCATCCTGGTAGCTTCTATTATGTATTGGAAGATCATGCATCTGGTAAATTTTACTATTACCAGAGAAACTAAAGAGATTTATTATGGCATGCAGCTTTGGAACCTCTTCCAGATGGTCACCAGCAGTAATTTTAAAATGTCCACTAGCATAAAAGTCCAGTGTTTCAAATAGTTGAACCTTTCAGTGGGGGCAAATCCTGCTAGGTAAATCATCTTTCAGCCATTCATATAGCAGTTCTAGATTGAATTGTAAATGCATCCTGTGCTTTTGAAACAATTTCTTGTCATTCAAGTGAATGATGTGACCATCTTCTGGAAAAGCAAGTTACAAGGAGAGGCATTGTCCAAATATCTCGAGTATCAAATATATTTTCTTAGTTGATCTTGACATTCAATTTAGCAGGAATCACAAGCTCCATAAATATTGTGTACTGGGCCATTTACCTGAAAGAGGTAAAATAGCACCAAATGTGGTACAAATGATACATTTTATTAGAATCAATATGAAAGCCTTAATGTACATAGGAGTGGAGTTTAAAATGCAATAGGCATCACTGCTGGCAGAAGCTTGCATGCACTAGGTTGTAACGAAAGTTTTTGTGCATACAAACAATGCAACAGTCTGTGAAGCACGATTTTTTTGTCACACATTCTGAATGCTGTAATTTTTATAAATTTAGCGATTTGTAAAAAAAAGTAACATATATTTGTACGCAGCATAAAATGCACTTTCGTTCAGAATGTGTTATGAAAAAATTGTGCTTTGTGGACTGTTGTGTTGTTTGTATGCACAAAAACTTTTGTTACAACCTAGTACTTAGATCTACCAAAGATGGCTATTTCCATTGAAGTGGCATCCAAGGAACATCAGCTGTGATTTTGTGTGCAGGAGGTGTGAAACAACATGATATCCTTCCAAGAATGCTTGTCCCAAAGAATATACATTGGGTGCAAAATGTTTCATGATGGATGCCTGGATGCCGAGAATAAACCCCAACCCATACAGGCCAACATCTTCAGCACAGCTAAAAGCATTGCAAGGGTGGACTATGTGATTACAACAAACAGACATGTCTCTGGATGCCATAGCCACAGAAGTGGGGATAAGCCATGGGCCTGTGCACACTATCGTCCAGATCACTTCCAGCACCATTTGGTGTGCACCAAATAGATACTGAAGTGCTTGATAAGATCAGAAGAATGTCTACATGTGTCTTTGTCTCACACATCTACATTGCTCTAGCATGCTGAAGTGGATAGCACTTTGGCTAGAATTGTGGCATGTGATGAAACCTGTTGTCATCAATTTGAACCTGAGTTAAAACATGTCAGTATGCACTGGGGGCATACTCAATCTCCCCACAAAAAAAATTCCATGCAACCACTTCAGCAGAGAAAGTTTTAGCAACTGTCATGGACCACTCCAACTGGATTTTCTACCCCATGGAAAATTCAACTCAGTGCAACACTGCTACATATTCTGCAATAAACTCTTTGTCATGCCATCAAGAGCAAGAACCCTGTACTGTTGACAAAGGGTACCACCCTTCTACACAATAATCCCTGACCTCACACCATACATGAAATAGTGGCCACCATTCAAAACCTTGGTTGGGAGATCCTTGACCCTTCTCCATACAGTCCGGACCTATTACCATGTGATTTTTATGCAATTGACCCAATAAAGAGGGCATTGAGGGGCCAGCAATACCACTCAGATGATGCAGAAGAGATACTGAAAACATGGTGTCACCAAACACCAATGTAAATTTACAAAAGTACCACAAAAAATCTGGTTAAGTGGTGGGGCAAGTGTCTCAATGCCTATGGAGAGTATTTTGAATACTTGTGGCTACTTGTGAACAGGCATGGATACCATAACTG